ATCCTGCGACGTCGTCTGGATTTATCGTCCAAGCTGGAGAAAATTTGTTGCAAAAGCACTGAAAGAAAACAACGTAAAGAAAAACGCACTTTTTAGTAATTCACACAAAAAACCGACATATGCAAAGAAGTAAGCTCTGCGACGTTGTCTACATCATAGACAGACACAAGACCTATCGAGTACACAAAAAACCGAGTGAAAAGAGTTAAACTGAAGAAAAAACAAGAGGTTTCGAAAACGCCGTTCTTCCCAGATTTATCCTTTAACACAGTGACGACAAGGCCGATTTTTCGATTACTGCCATTTCGGACAGGATGTTCTAAATTTCTTTAAAAAAGACTAACATTCCGGACAATACGACCCACCCGTGGGTCGTATTGTCCGAAATGGTAGTCTTTTTGGAAGAAATTCAGAGCATGTCTCCGAGAATTTCCCCACAAGAGTTATCGAACGCGCTGATTACCAAAATATGATTTATTTCAGTTTTTGGCGATATACGGTAAGGTTACGGTAGTCATTCTGTACGAACCCAACATCATGGATTTTCATGAAAATTTGTGTATTGGGGTTATTTCACGTGCTGATCACGATTATACTGTCCACTTTGTTCACTACATTCTCACGGTAAGACTACGGTAGCAGTACGGTAGAATTTTCGTAGAAATCAAGAAACTGATGTTAGAAGGTGGTATCAAAACTTGAGACTATCATTTTCGTAATCAGCATGCTACAAAACCTGTATATGCAAAGTTCGAGCTTCCTAGGATGAAAAATGCAAAAAATAATAAAATCAATGAAATCGATAATTTTTTAATGGGTTAACGTCAGCCTCTTGCCCCCCCCCCCGTATTACTCTTACATGTAAACTTGAATCTCCAGAAACAGCATCATTTTGAGAAGAATTTGAGTAAAAGATTGTGCCTTATATATATTTACCGTATGCTTATTGTAGCATTACATTACGGTACTTCGAGCCCGGACAACTCTGGCTGGAGCTTCCCCTAAGTGCCCCCAATCAGGTGCCAGAACCCCGTAGAATTCCGTCGTAAACTGGCAAGGACAGCGCTTCATGAATCTTACGACCCACCGGTGGGTCGTATTGTCCGAAATGGCAGGATCCGTATGACCCATCGGTGGGTCGTATCGTCGTCAATGTGTTAAATCATAAAAAGGAGTCTTGCGACCATAGGTGCGATAGGGGGAGCAGAGTCCCCTCCAGGTGAAGGGGATTTTGGCTATTTCTGACCTAGACAAGTAAAGGGGTAAATGGGCCTTGAGGTGAATGCTGACGTAAGCTTACATGTCAACGGAAGCGGGAGTGAAAAGAAGGAAAATAAGTGGTACGGAGGTGTGTATAAAAATTTCCTCGATACTAGGCTTTGAAAGGTCATCCAACAGAGACTTTTCTAACTCGGGAATGCTTTTATGTTTCATCAGTCGACATACCATTCGAAAGCTCGGAGCATACAATCGACGTAGACCGTCTCTTTTTTTTCCAGTTCTCCTGTGAAATCAGATATAAAAAATCATATCTAGTTCCAGCATCAACTGATTTAAAGCAATCACTTGTCGCTGCATTTTTAAAAGAAAGAGGAAAGCTAGAAAAAAAAGACGGTCTATGTTTACTGGCAAAGTCTTGCTCTGTAATACGGTTAGACAATTGGGCATTTTCAATCACTCTTTGCATGAAAATTTCTTCGCAAAAATACAAATGTTTTTAGATGAAATGCCGTGTATCTCTGAGTAGAGGGGAGCTAGAGAAAAAAAGACGGTCTACTTCGAATCCCTTTTTCGTGGGCTTTCTAAAGGTATATAAGTTATTGGGTGAAAGAACTTCTGGCTTTTCAAAAGTGAGGTGGAGATATTCAAAACTAACTTGCTCCACCCCGCTCCGGCTTTCAATGGGTCGCCGGAGCAAGACTTTTTTGGACTGGGAAAGCTTTGTGCACCAACAATTTGTATACCATTCGATAGCTAAGAACACGAGAATTCGGCGTAGACCGTCACTTTTTTCTTAGATTTTCTTTAAAGCGAGATACGAGCAGTTTTATCTAGCTACAATATCAGCCAATTCTGGGTAATTATCTTCACAAACCAAGAAGATTTTTTGAACTTTTGTATATGATTCGAAAGCTTAAGAAACGAGTAATCTAAAAGCTCTTATATTTGTTATCGTTCTTTCTAGTGAAAGAAGATATGGTACAATTATTGGCAGCAAACATGCATCCATCACTAGACAATCCAAGTTTTCTACACTTGCTCAACTCTTTCTTGCCACAAGGTGTATTCATTGATACAATGTTTATTATTCAAAGAATTAGACATCCTTTATTTTTTGATTATGTTTCGTTATCAGTGCTACTTTAAGTGCGCAAAAGGTCTCAAGCATGCATTTTTCAGCAAAACGCTGTAGCTTCGATAATCTCTTGCAGTCTTGATGTCTATGTCTGGCATTTCCTTTCCAAACAAAAAGTGCCGTTGTAGCAGCTGTATGATTCTGCCGTTATGCCTTGATTCTAGTCTCCATCTCAGTGAAAGGGGTCAGTCAGATGCTGGCCCTAAAGTGAAGAGCAAGTTAGAGAATTTTTTCCACCTACCGCATCTATGATTCAGAAAATTTTCTTCTATATCAAGTTTCTAACAATCATCAACAGGGCCTGGTTTGAGTTCCTTTCTAGGCTTTTTGAAAACGAAGTCACCCTTGGCTTTCGCTAAAATTTACGAAGTCCCTTTGACCCCAAACCATATGTGCAAAAAACCCTTAAAAAGCGAAACGTCGACTAAAAAAACCACGGAATTTTCGTCTTTTTGGCCACAAAAACGAAGTCCAGCTCGTTTCCAACGATTTGTGCCGGACCCTGATCATTAATTTCAGCAAAAATTCTGTTCTTGGTAGAGACATCAACTGAGCACAGGAAAGTTTCCAAAGACCTTATTTTTGAGATTATTTAAAATTTATTTTGCACCAATAATGGACAATGACAGGCTTTGGTACGCCAAGTGCCAAAGTTTCTATCCTCTTGATGCAGTCGTACTTTATGATTTTGCAGGACTAGAGAAATTTTCCATAATGATCCTGTAAGACATGGTAAAAGATTTTGTATAGTAGGAAGAATATGGAGGATTTCATATAGTATAGAATTTTTTTATTCATTAAATCAATTTTATTGCATGTTTGAAATGAAAACTCGACTAATCAAAGAAACTATGAGCAGATAGAGTCAAAGAATGGAGGTTGCAGCTGTTGCCTGAAAGCATTTGAGAACATTTTGTTGCGTGGGCATACTATTAGAAAGAAAATAAAAAGCTACTCGAATATGTGTTAATGGTCTTTAAAGGCAGCGGCTCGGCAAACTGGGATATTCATTCTTCTCTGTTCTCCTGAATGAGGTAAGTCCAAGACAGTGCTTTGCAGCTTCAAAAGATATCAATAACCCGCTTTTCCAGAAGTGAAGAGTGCTATTTGGGCGGACGGCGCGTATGCCTGGCCTCGAGCGCGATTGGCTCGTGGATACGATAGGTACGGTGTCTTCACTCACAAGCCAATTGCGCTCTAGAGAGCGGATACGCGGTTTGCTCTCAAATAGCGCTTTTCACGTCTGGAAAAACGGGATACTGATATCTTTTGAAGCTGCAAAGCAAGTCTTGGAATTAGCTCATCCAGGAGAACCGAGACGATGAATATCCCAAAGTTGTCATTCTGAGTTGCTGCTAATCACTATCCTGCGAAATTTTAAGCTGGTGCAATTCACTACGATCTCAAATAATTTTTCCCGTTCTAGTAAGGCCAAATAAATAGGGCATCGGCACATCGAGAGATTTATATCAAGGCGCCTTAAAACGTGATTTTCAGTTTGTTTTCCATATATGAAACGACTCTTAGAGATCATGAGTGCTTAGAAGTGTAAATGTGCAGCCGTACCAGATGACAGAGTGCATCAAAACTGAGACTGAAAGCGCTTAATTACAGAGTACTACAATCACAGAAAAAGTACACAAGAAATATGAGTATAGAATGTTGATTTCTTCTCGTTCAACATATGACACTAAACTTCACAGATTAGGCTGCTAAAAGCTCATGGTTTTTTTTCAAATGTGCCGCAGAAACGAAATGTGATCAGCTTTTGTGACACATTCGCTAAACCTTGCTCACAAGATAAAAATTTTTTTGGTGCTAAAGTAATTCCTCGTGTTACAGACAGTGTTATGATGCTTACGGCACTATTTGATAGAGTTAGCACGCTTTACAAAATGATTAGCACTAATACGTGTAAATCGTAATCCGAATGCAGTTTTAGCAGCGGTCATTCAAATTTGGACCTATGTTGATACCAGTGGCGTACCGAGGGGGGGGGGGCGGGGGGGGGGGGCGCGCACCCCCCCCCCCCGAGAATGGGTCGCGAAATTTTTGAAAGTCACTTATATGGGTTATAAAAATGTGCAAGTGACTTGTTTATTTTTGTAAATAATTAAAATAATTTTTAAAAATTTTTAAAAATTCTAATTAGCCTTGTAAAAAATTTTTTTTCGGGGGCGTGGCTGACGCCACGCCCCCTTTTTCTAGATTTTAGGGGTCGGGGACCCGCAAATCTTCTTAGAAGCACCCCAAAAAATTTTTCGGAGTGCGTGGCTAACGCCACGCACCTTCTTTAGAAAAAATTTTTTGTCGCGCCCCCCCCCCCCGAGCCGAAATCCTGGGTACGCCACTGGTTGATACCATTAGAAATAATTTTGGTTCCTAATTATGGCACTGCTCAAACGGCAGCGCAAATGAATCACTCACGGCTGAGATGCTCGCCTTGGTCGACATTTCGTTTTTTGGAGATTTTCTATGATTTTGGTTTAGGGTCAAAGGAAACTTCGCAAAATCTTGGGAAAGTTAAGGGGGACATCATTTTTTGCATTTTTCAAAAGTTACCTCGTGCTGAGCCCTGATACTTCATACAATCTATACTATAATCTATATAATCTATACTACACCCTGTATAACAATGATTGAAGGACAATGATTAATCTTTATTGTGAAAGATGAACTTATAAACAAGGTAAAGCGATCATGATGGGTCAGTTGATGATGGACCAGAGGCCACGCATGCCATCTGAAAATCTTAATTTGTATGTAGCCTGTGTGCCGCCTAAAAAAAGAACACATGCAGTTTGTTTGTGACGATAAAAACTTCTTAGAATTTTTTGTACTCACCGACCGGGAACAGTGTTTTTAGAAAATTTCATATTATATTACTAGCGACCCTACGGTTCGCTGTAATTAAGTCGGGGCAGAAACATTACTATTTAATTGATTGCGACTGCATCTAACAAGGGAACCGTGTCGAGTCGAAGTGGCCTTTCCAGATGAGACCCATAAGAGCTTTGAAGAGCATTAATCGGTGATTCCAAATCTGCTTTCCAAATCTGCCAAGCGCCTCTGGACGCCGAGTTATGCTCGTTTTTTGAGTCAAAAAACTGAACACAAAACTGAAGCAAAATCGCCCAAATTTGCTCAAATGGTCCAGTGTCAGGTATCAGAGCTGTTTATGCAATGGATACTTTTTATTTAATATGCTAATACTTAACATTGCTTTATCTGAGCGCTGGAAAGATTTTAATAATCCATTTTACCTAAATTCTGCATGCATTTTTCGTTCCGAGGAACGGTCATGACTCGGCGCCCAGAGGCGCTTGGCAGATTTGGAAGGCAGATTTGGAATCACCGCTTAACTCTCTTCAAAGCAGTACGGGTCTTATCTGGAAAGGCCACTCCGACTCGACACGGTTCCCTTGTAAGTATAAACAGTGTTCGCTCCCCTTCTTAGAAAAGCTTAATGTTAGACACAAAATAATACCTGATATTTCCTTCCAGATATCACCACGAACTCATTTATTTGATACAGCTTGTTTCTTTCCTTGCAAGTTAAAATCAAAGTAATCGCTTCCCTAATAAGGATGACCAAAACAGATGCAAGCTGGGTCCCCAATCCGGAAGCAAAGGCATTTTCTGTGGATAAATTCTGTCGAAATCGAGGTTTTCACCGTTCTTCATGAAATTTATGGGGAGTACAAAACTTTTCGCTTCAAAAACTGATCAGCCACAGAAACAGCTTGCAGAGGCTCAACCAGCGAGACCACGGCTTCCATGCTGGGCTCTCAAACCGGGAGCAAAGGTCCAAAAAATGATCAGAGAAATCCAAAAATGCATTTTTTTGCCGTGAAATCGCTCTTCAAATCAAGATTTCTGTCAATTTTTTACAGAATGTTGAGTTCTGACGACTATTTCTTGAGAAAATTAGTTAAACTCTCAGCGGCTAGAGCGGGAAAAGTATTGTTGTAGCGAGGATTATGATTGATGATGAGGTAATTGTGAACTGAAAATACCGTAGCAGAAATGATGCGACGCCGATGTCTGGCATTGTATTACGATGATGACATGCTCAGTGTTGAAATGGAGATGAGTCACGGCTACAGTAATTTTCGAAATGCATTCGGCGTTGCCGGCGGCGATCAATCCATTCATAATCACTTTCTCATTTCGCGCTCCATTGCGCCTTAGGCCCCGGGCAGACTTCACGCGATTTGATCGTCGCGACTGAATCGCGACGAGACAACTGTTACAACATCATCCCATGCCGATCAACTTGCATTCGGTTGTGATACTTTTCCAGCCCGAAATTTTTGGATGCGAAATGAAAATGAATGGAAATCTTGGCGATTAGATCGCGACGATTAAGTCGCGTGAAGTCTGACCGGGGTCTTAGGAAGTTCATCGTATACACTCACTCTTACGCAGTCGAAAATCTTTGCGAGAGAGTGTGATGTCTCGCGCGCTCACACTGTCAATAACTTGCCCTCAGCAACGCCGAAAGGGGACAGGGTAGGAGACGATCCGTAGTTTTCGTCGTCGCATGATGTTTCCAGTTTATATATACGGAAGAATTCAAAGAATTTTTCAAAAAAGTAATGCTTACATCCTTAATGCTTACATCCTCCTTATGGGCGCCCGATTGAGGGTAGTCCACCGAAAGGCGGTCCATCGAATCCCAATCCACCTGAATAGTGACTTAGAGCACTAGCCAATGATACTTCTGATTAGAATGCAATAAGCTCATTACCTTCGACCAGCTGGCTAACGCCAACAATGAACACAAGAACAACTATGAGGTGATTGAACATTGCGATCATAATGCTTGAAAAGCTGAAAAAAGTTGTTGAGGTGAATGCTACCGATGCATATAAGAAAGGAATTTGTGGGAAGGTTGAGGTGGCCGCTGTACAGTAGGGAAATTGGCAGTTGATACATGAATGGTGTAAAAAATTGCATGGCTCCGGATTCTCTAATGCAGAAGAATTCATCTTTAGCTTGCGAATTATGCACCAATATCTGTTTAGATATTGGAAACTTTTCCGATAGATTCCTCTGTTCAACAACCACATTGTTCAATAACAACTCAAAATTATATCATATGCCAGAAGAAGGAGGAAGACCGCACGCCTCAGAAAGTGGAGCACTGAAAGACCTTACAAGTACGATGCTATTTGAGTTGATCTATGCAATCATTATGCTCTTTTGTAATTCTTACCACATCAACAACAAAGCCCATTTAACGTATCCCATCGCTTAGCAAAAGCATTTGCATTACTTAATACCAATTAAGTCCCTCACTGGTTGAGAATGCATTGCCACGCTTAATCTTAGTATTCCTATTATAGGCCTAATGCTTGCGAAAGATGGTTGAAACATAACCCTGCAATAAAAATTTTGGCAAACCATTCGTCTCGCTTTGGCCTTCAGTTTTATACTTTTCTGAAATTTTTTTAATGCCTTTTTGAAATAAAACAAATTTGTATTCCTATACAAAAGTGTAAGTTCGGATTTCAAATTTCATAATAAAGTTCTAAAAACAACTAAAGAAATATAATACAACTATAATAAAAACAATACAACATACTAAACTTTGAAAGCTCGTTCAAGGATTCCCGCTATTTCTTAGAGATTATTGACTGGCACTCCAATTTCCATTAGCCATCTTCTCACTGTCTTTACCTTGTCTAACTTCAACTAAGTTTTAGAGTCACCTTCGCAACTTCAGAGGAGTAAGCTTCAGTAGCAGGTAAACCATTAACCACCAGACACATGGAAGACTTCGATGGGCAAAAGCCGTTGCTTACCAAAAATTTGTATTGAAAAGTATTAAGTTGTCTCAAAAAATCGCATTTCCAAATAAACTGAGCTGTTCTCGTTTTCCTGATAGACCTAAGGTACCATTCGATGGAATGGAGCAAGCTCTACAAAAGAAATGCCCAACCCAGGTAAAATTTGGGGCCAAAAATCAAAATTTTTCTGAGACTCTAAAAATCGGATCTCCTTTCAGGAAATTCCTACGGACTTTCAACTTGGTCTTTATAAGCTAGACACATAGTAGTATTCAAAAATGTAAATGGCGGATTTTCTCCGGAGCCCAAAATAGAGAAAAAAGATGATCTAAAAATGCTATGCCACTTTTTTTTCTGGTTTTTCGTGCAAAACTTAATATTTCTCGGTTACAAAAGCACATACAGAATTAAGATTTTAAAATCATAATTAGTAAGGCCTGTATATACAATGAAAGCTTATGGTTTTTATAAAATGTGCCGCTGTCACGACGACTTGTGATCAGCTCTCGTAACCTGCTGATCTTCAAGACAAAATCATTTTGATGCAAAATTGACTCCTTCTGCCACAGACAGTGTATTAATGACACTATTCGGTAGAGCTAGCATGCTTTACAGAATAATTACCTTTTGATTCTTTTGGACTGGCGGCTGGAAGTAGCCCGCTCATACCCTCGACGCAGTCTGCGTCTCTCTTGCGAGGATGCTCTCTGACCATTCCCTAGTCTTGATTAAGCTTCAAACCCGCCTTCCAGCCTCCAATCCTAGTGAATCAAAGGGACGTGTACATCGTAATCCGAATGCAGTTTGAGGCGAAAATTCAAAACCGAGTGCCTCAAAAAACGGCATCTCAATTCTCAATCGAGGAAAAATCTGCGAACCTTCTACTTGGTTAGCACATGCGCGCAACAATCACTGCAAGCATCCGTTGTATTTTTTTTCACGGATGTAAAACGCAAAAAATTTATGACCACAACTCAAAATATATGAGCGCCCTGGTCCCTGGTTTCACTTATGTAGTTGTGTTACACAAACCCTTGGAAGTAGTACCTTGAAAGTATTGTTTCTGTATGTGTTATCATCGAAAGACAACAAGTCTAGCACAAAAGAGCCAAAAAGGTGACACTTTTTTTGTATCCGCATATATTCGTTTCTTGATTTTTTTTGAAAAATCACGCGACTGTTTTGTTTCGCTTGCAAGATTCTTTTTGACGGAGATCCGATTACAAGGGCAATTGCATACATTATGATTTTGACTTCGTATGAGGTAAATCACGATGTCCGAGAAAATCTGTTTTGGCTTATAGAGCTTGCTTTGCTCTATAGATTATTTTTTGCTAATTTTGCATCAGTCTGATAGAACGGGACCAATAATTTGCTTTAGACAAGATCCAAGTTGAAGCCACACTGGTACCAAAGATTCCTTACGTTGAAAATAGGTAATGAACAAGATCAAGCAGTGTATACATATTTTAGGACCTGTATAACATCAAAGTGAATTTTTATTTGAAGAGGATCGACGAATATGAGCGCTTCATTGCCATACAAGATGAATTGATTTCTTGGAAGAGTTGTCCATATTTGCAGCGCAGTTATTCATATTTGTGACCTGAACAACCGATTTAGAGATTTTTCAAATTATTAGTGCTTTGTGGTCCTCTAAAGATGACTGCACACCTTTTTTGTGGCAGAAATGTTCTAAATGTTAGATTATGGAATCATAGAACCTTCAAAAATTTCAAAATCCGTAACATTTTATTCGCGAGACAAAAAAATCAACAAGGTTTCCATATTCTTTCTTCGAAAAGGGTTAAAAAGGTTGAAAGTGTTCATATTCACCGACTAAATTATATCCGCAGCCACCACCGCGTCCGCAACCGCGTCGTCCATAGAGTCCACGTCCACCGTAGCGTCTACCGTATGCGTAGGATTCTTCATGAACCCTCCGGAAACTTGTCGATCTGAATGGTGACTCACAGCATTAGCTAATAGTACTTCTTCTACAATTTGGCCCTATATGTTAATATTAGGTTGATGCAGAAGAAATGGCCGATTTTCCAAGCCTTTTTTCAGGGCAACTTTTTTCCATCAATACTTTTTCTTTACAATGGATGTAGTAAAATGTCGCGAAGCTGTTTTCATGCTCTATCTAACGGTGCTTGAAACGGGTTCTCATCCTCAGCTCTTATAAAGTTACTGAGCTTCAAATAACCTCATCCAAATTCAGAATTTCATTGCATTCACTTTTCCGGCCAGAATTCAAGCGCGTATCAATGGGATTTCTTCGAAAATTTAGCCATTGTATGTAATAGAAATTGTCTACATTATGCATACTTAAATGCATTCTTTGAAGTTATCCAGACTGAGATATCGGCACCTAAACATGGGTAGCTGTTGCGGTCATTTTATGACCCATAATTTTCTTCTGAGGAAGTCAGTCGCCGAAGCTTGGCTCAGTTCTGTAAGCGTAGGGCTAGGACATTTAATAGCAGTTTTTGCAAAAGCATCTAGCTGTTCAGTAAGTAGAAAATTCAGAAAATTCTATATTCCGAACTTTGAGGCACACTGAAAAAATGTTGAAAAACTGAGAAATTTTAGATTTCAATTTTTTCTTTCTCGCAAACCTTTTTGTCCGAATTATTTTTATTGTATTTTGTACTACTGGCTTGTGACTACAAGATAGGCCACTTGTCATTCATACTAAGCAACTTTGAACAAAGTTATGAATTGTCAATTAGGCCATTCGGAAAGTTTTTTCGTTTTCGCACTTTTAAATTCAAACGAGCACAACTTTTTCCAGATCCCATCTTTTTCTTCCAAATAATTTTCTTTGTGTTCAGCAAAATTCTGGTAACATTATTGTAGTGCTCGTGTTCTTTTTACTTTAAAATTCTATATTCCGCACTTTGAGGCACACTGAAAAAATGTTGAAAAAATTGAGAAACTTTGAATTTCAATTTTTTCTTTCTCGCAAATTTTTTTGTCCGAACTCTTTTTATTGTGTTTTGTACTACTGGCTTGCGGCTACAAGATAGGCCACATATTATTCACATTAAGAAACTTTGAAGGAAGTTATGAATTGTCAAAAACAAGGTTCCCGCAGAAGAACCTTTTTTGTCTTTTAGTCCGTATTTCTCTTCGCGTTCATGGTTTGAGTATAAATAAGTATGCGCTGTACTGCGAAAGGTTTGCTGCTTCTGGGGGTCTTTACCGCATTCATAATTGTGGATCTTTTAGAAAGTTATGACGCATCAAAGTGAGAATTCGCAAATCGGCCATTCCTTTTGCATCAACCTAATAGATTACGTTGACATAACAAATTTTATTTGTCTTCCATAGATGAAGAGCTGCGACAATGACAAAAAGTCATCAGAACGGTCTTCTACTTTTGCAAATCATATAATTTATGTGGGTTCCACTTTTTAAAGTACTCGGTTGGAGGGATGCATACAAATAGCAATGGCTCGGCAAAACCAAACATCTCGAAATTTTGATACGGAAGCTTGCTTGCATCCCAAACATCAGAACTGAGCAGGTCTGAGCGCAGTACATGCTGCTCCTGCCCATAGGTGCAATAGGGGGAGCAGAGTGGTGAAGGGGATTTTGGCTATTTCTGACCTAGACAAGTGAAAGGGATAAATGGGCCTTGAGGTGAATGCTGACGTAAGCTTACATGTCAACGGAAGCGGGAGTGAATAGAAGGAAAATAGGTACGGAGGTGTGTATAAAAATTTCCTCGATACTTAGGCTTTGAAAGTTCATCCAACAGAGACTTTTCTGACTCGGGAATGCTTTATGTTTCATCAGTCGACATACCATTCGAAAGCTCGGAGCATACAGAATCGACGTAGACCGTCGTAGATTCTCTTTAGTGAAAGGAGATATGGTACAATTATTGGCAGCAAACATGCATCCATCACTAGACAGTCCAAGTTTTCTACACTTGCTCAACTCTTTCTTGCCACAAGGTGTATTCATTGATACAATGTTTATTATTCAAAGAATTAGACATCCTTTCATTTTTTGATTATGTTTCGTTATCAGTGCTACTTTGAGTGCGCAGAAGGTCTCAAGCCTGCATTTTTCAGCAAAACGCTGTTGCTTCGATAATCTCTTGCAGTCTTGATGTCTATGTTGGCGTTTCTTTTCCAGACAAAAAGTGCCGTTGTAGTAGCTGTTTGACTCTGCCGTTATGCCTTGATTCTAGTCTCCATCTCAGTGAATGGGGTCAGCCAGATGCCGGCCCTAAAGTGAAGAGGGTCAGAGAAATTTCTCCACCTATCGCATCTATGCTTGCGACGTTGTCAGCATGAAAATAGGGATTAAGAGCTCTAATATGATATATAGATTGTCGAAATTAGGCTCCGAACAACGAAGAAAAGGGTACCAGAGTCAAATGCCCCTCGCCCCACGTTTGGGGTAGCGAGATAGCACGCTACGCGCGGAGACGCAAACGAGCAGCGGAGACAGACCAGAGCCGGCGGGGAGTTTGGCTCTGTTCATTTATCTCCGCGGGGTTATAACGAAACTCTATAACATTATATATCTTTGTGATTCTCATGAGACGGCCAGGAGCACTGACAACGTCTCGGGTCTTGAAAATCACTTTATAACGAGATAGATCAGCATTTATGTAACAACTCTCTGCGCAAGATTTGAGCGCAGTTTCTCGTTTTTATTGAACTCCAGCAGCTTTCATGAACTTCCAACTCTCAGTCGCAGCTTAGAGGAAGGTTAAATGAAAAATGTTGTCCTAGTTTTTAATTGAATTTTTGAATAAAAACCTTTTTTTTCAGCAAAAAAACCCATAAAAAGGCAATCCTTCGGCTTTTTAGCTTCTTTTGACTGTCACTGCTATTTGCCTCATTCACATTCATCCCTATATGTTTATGTCATTAATTATGGGGTGGAGGAACGAACACCTCAATTAGGCACCGCCTCCGCGGACTACTGGTCCCAACACGACGTATAATAGTAGGACGAAA